AAGATAGCGGTGTAAAATATCACAGTAACAAATGAGCGGTCGTCAATTCCGAAAAACCTTTGAACACGGACTTTTTGATTACAAAAAACTTTCTAGGCAAGACCAAGAGGGGCAAGGATTCAAAACTTCAGTTTCACATCAACTGCACAAGAACTGGAAAAGTACTTTTTCGTACATATCATATGAAGTGATTCGTGCGTGCTCAATCATGCACGAAAGCAGACATAATGATGTATATTTTCTGCATAAAAATCAAGAAAACTATACATTATTTAATGCTCAAAATTTGACATATTATTTATGGCTTAATACGTATACTACGCTTATTTTATGCTTAACTGAGCACTCACGAATCTCTCCATACGAAATAAACGGAGTACCTCCATGAGTGTGTGTAGAATTCAATGGATGTTCTTAGTTCCGGCTAAACAACTAATATTTGTTCGTCCACGCCCAATATATGGGAGTTGATGACCTCTGCTTAACAATAAAAACTACAACTTCATAATGTTTCCTCTCGAGTTTCTCTTCTCTTCTTCAAATCCCGCACCTTGTGGGACTTATGTTTCTGATTCTCGTTGGTTGGGATGGTTCTCGCATGGTCTATAAGTGTCGCTGCTCAACGCGCACGAGAACATGCTCGTTTCTGGACTTGAGGATGAGTTCGCCGGCTACCTCTGGTTTGTAGCCAGGATACGCCTCGATGAAGCGTAACTCCATGAGCAGGCGCGCGATAACACACTTCATCTCCAGCATGGCGAACTTCTGGCCTGAGCAGTGAGAAAAGAGTTTTAGATCACATTCATTGATAGCCTTCACTGTGAAAAGCGTCCTCGTAAAACTACATTTGTTGTAGTTGACATTTTCAAAATATGCTTAAACTTGCCGACAGACCATTCTTGCCTGTCGATCGATTTAAAGTCGATACAAAGCGCTTGTAACTTTACAATTTCATATCGCAAGTCTAAGACACCCGCAAACCTACGACTCTTTTTCATTGGGTATCTTACTTCTCCACGTGTGTGTTTGACGCACTTTGAGGGTGTCGTGTGGTTCTTACCGATGCAGTTCCTGGGGCCGGCCGAGAACGGCAAGTACGCGAAGGCGTGCCTGCCGACTGAGTTCTCGGGGAGGAATCTGTCGGGGTCGAAACGCTCCGGGTCGGGCCAAAGGGACTCTTTGCGGTGGAGGACGTAGGGGCAGATGGCCACCGTGGCGCCGGCCGGGACGACACCTGTGTTGGCACACATCAGTACGGGCGGAGCGTTGAAGTAGGAGACGTGATTTTAAAGGTGCTTTTACTTACGTTTCCCGTCCATTTCCAGGGCTAGGTCCTCCTTGATCGACCGGCCGAACACGGGCACGCTCGGGTATAGGCGCATTCCCTCCTTGATGACCCTCTCTAGATACTTCATCTGTGCGAGGTCCTGGTTGGTGAGGTGACGTGTCTCATCGCCCACCACTGAGGTTACCTCCCGGTATGCCATTTCCTGGTGTATGGGTAAAGCGCATAATTGTGACAAGAGGACAAAGTAACGTCACGAATGGTTTACAAAGGCGCAGATTAACTTTGGCCTTAGTTTTTTACTTGATTAAGTGAAAAGCCAAAACAAGGTTGACTTTGAAAAATTGCGTTTTCTCTTGCCCAATATGAGCCGTGGATGCAAATGGACGTCATACCCCGGTGCCTCTAAAGACGCCAACCAATCATAAGTGCGTCCTCGCAATATTCCATGCAACTCCATTTTTGAGTTTGCTGATTCTGACGCTCGGGTGACCAGGAGGCAACACCTCGATACTTGAGGGAGACGTATGCCGACCCTTACCTGGATCTCAGGGTTCACGGACAGCGCGTACAGAATGAAGGTTATGGCGCATCCGGTCGTATCATGGCCCTGGAGAAACAATATAAATTTGTAAATAGAGCCTGTTTTCATTTTAGAAAAATTTACGCACCGAAATCTTACAACATTTTTTATCGTGCTGCCGTATTAAGATATGCACAAGCCGAACACGCCCAGGGAAATTCAAAGGCTATACATGAATAAAAAAAAGTTCATAAGAATTTTGCTTGTGTAATTGTTGCCGTTCCCCTCGTGCTACGTCGTGCCTTCCCCGTGGGAGTGTCTCGCACCTCGAACATGAACGTGTCCACTTCTTCCTGGATGTCAATATCAGACAGGCCAGCTCCGTTGTGGTTTGCCATGAGTAGCTGATCGAGGAAAGCTACTCGCAATTTGGTACCGTCTTCGGCTGTAAATGTTTTTGAAGATAATTTACAGCATGGAGTCAGAAATCACCAATTATTTATATGTCCAATATTTTGCCTACCCGACTGCTGAATCTTCATCAATTCCTCCGTGTGGATTCCCCTGCGCTTGTGGATAACCTGCACAAAAAGTCAATAATTTGGATTAAGAGTAACATTTGCGTTGCTCAGGGTGCTGCGCGTGGTGGACACTCACGGATTTCGTGAGCCCGTGCAGGACTTTGAGCGCCCGTGAGAAGGACCATCCGGACGGCGACGCGTAGAATGTGGCGTCCGGGTACAGCCACGGCTTCACCAACCGCATGTACGAATTGCAGCAGGCGCTTGGAATGGAGAAGACACTTTCTCAAGATCTGCACGAGTTCTTCGTTTCCAAACAATCGGTCGCCTGGTACTCACGTTTTCACCGCCTGCACGTACTCCGAGTTGGAGTCCTCCTGCGCGTTGACGGTCGTGCCCAT